GAACACAAACACGTGGCAGGTTTTGTCGGATAATTTGCAGAAATTCACTTCGAAATTCACTTCGAAATTCGTTCAAGTAAAATTTGGACTGAAATCTGATGTAACTTGCGACTGATTGACAAGCGTTGCTGTGTTTACTTACATGTTAATGCATTTTTTAGTATTACTGCATTCCTTAACCTCGCCCTTAATATGAAAGCCATTTCTATTTTCTAGACACGCACCTCGCAAGGAAGCTTTATCAGCGGCGGCGGAACAGATTTCGTTCTGGGGGGGCTAAATTTCTTCGGCGACCCCCCTCCCAAAAAAATGTTTTTCGGAAATACACTTTTTGTAAACAAAATATTGCAAATTTGTCCCCATATACCTAAATTTTCAAAAAATAACCTAAATTTTTCCCTAATTATCATTTTTTTTTCAAAAAATTCAAATTTTCTGGGAGGGCTAAGCCCCCCCCCACTTTTACTTCTGGGGGGGCTTTAGCCCCCCCTCCTGTTCCGCCGCCCCTGCTCTATAGTAATACACAGCCGACATAACAATTGTCAATGACAATGTACTAAAGACTACTAAGTATGTGGTGTTTTTATCCTGTTTGATCAGTTTGAAAAACATACAATGAAAAATAGTTGTCATTGATTCGTTTGGATTCTTTAGGGAAAGCGTGTGGAGAATTTCTTCCAGGTTCATATTTTTTTTGGAATACAAAGTTCCCACAAACTTTTCCAGAGTCAAACGTTCTGGATTTAGACTCTTTCTGTGATCATTTTGTATCATTCATGAATCATGCGCATTACTCATTAGTTAAAACAGCCAAAAATCCGATATAAAAACACCTAGTCATTCGTAACGAATCCGAAAACGTTTGCTCTACAGGGTGTCTAAAAAAAAACGCTACGGAAATTAAACAGGCTGTCGTGCATCATAAACGTGGCTAAACAATTGAATTTTTACATAGCACGAAAGAACAGTTATTTAGCTTTTCAATGATACTCTCTTTAAGTCGTAACGATGAGAAATGGCCACATATACTCGTCAAATAGAAATTGCCGGTCGAATTCACATTCTTCCACCGTTGGGAATTGCATCGAAAACGAAAATTGAATGTTAAATTATCTAAAATAAGCTCAACTCGTCAATCTTCGTCTTAGTGAGACAATAACTCAATACGAATTTGGTACGAAACATGATCAATTAACCCCTGAACAGAGAACATTCGTTTAGCTTTATTGACTATATACTAAAACAAATTGTTTTGAGTTCAGTTCACATAGCAGTCTCTTAATTCGAGCAACAGTTTAATAACTATTATTTTTAACACTTGAATAATTCAAACTTATATATGGCGAACGAAAACTGCAAACTATATAAATAAATTGTGTCAATTTTCGACTCATTCTCAACATGCAGGATACGCTGTTACAGCGAGTTAGTTTTTGGTGGCCATGCATGCAAAAGTGGGCCGCTTATTTTGCTTACAAGTTACGTGGACGTATAATTATTGCTGTTACATAAACGTTCCGGTGTTCAAGAGCTGCATATATATAGCCGATAAAAATTGCGTGCTCATTATAATCGCCGATCACATGGCTTTATCACAGTCTCAAACCTTCAGACAAACATATCCACATTCCTCTCCCCCCCCCTTCGGACATCCTAAGACATTTTTCCTCTCCCCCCCTTCGGACATCCTAAGACATTTTTCCTCCCTCCCCCTTCGGACAGCAAAAATTTCCTCCGTGGGGGGGTATGGATCTTTTCTGGAACGACCCATTAATCGGCTCATCCCTAATTCCTGGCAACATGCTGGAAGAAGACATGCACATGGATAATTTATTTATTTATTAACTTCAGCCGTCAACAGAAATATAAACATATGCAAACAGCAGGGGCGGATCCAGGATTTTTCGTACGTTAGTCGAAGTTTTCGGATGTACAATCTAGTTTTGCGAGCGGCGAATGCGCGAGGCACCTAGGGGGTCTGTCCCCCAGGAATTTTTATATTTTTAAACCTCAGAAACGCAATTTGCATCACTCTGAAAGCAGCTTCAACAAAAAATTAACCTCATGAAATGGGAGATAATTATAGCAACTATACCAGTCTGACTGACTCTCACAACTCGCTCCTTAGGGAAAAATAAAGGAGAAGTACTTGCAGAAATGTGATAATTGTGGAAGATGTTTCATTTTATCAAATTACGGATTGCTAGTATTATGTTTAACTATCTCATGATAGTACTACACTCATTTTTGTTGCCTAATAGCCTTGTTGAGTCATTGATCACTTGACTAGTAATCACTACAGTGTCATATTACTCAAGTAAACATATATAATATTAAAGTCTTAACATTCATCTATAAAACCTGACCTTTATATTCTATGTATACTGCATTAATGCATTTATATAGGTTATCCTCCATATTAATAG